GAAACGTGATACTACAGATGTCACGAGTACTCGTCGTCGACAACCTTAGCTACAATCTATTGAGCGTCAGCCAGCTAATGTCGAAGGGTATTCACCTGGAGTGTGACAGCTTTGATCGGGAGTCCCATCTCTATCAGCGGAAGGGTGGTCTCTTCATCGGCAGAGCCATCCAGAAGCACGGTGTCTTTGTCTTGGACTTCGTTCCAGACCGCAGGACCACTGACAGCGATGGTGTCGTCTCCTTCACGCCCTGGACGCACCCACTGGATCTTGACCCCGGATTCGACCGCGACGGTTTCTAGTACTCCAACACCATCCCTATAACAGAAAGCACACGGGCACTAGTGGTGATGCGGGAAGCAGCGGAACAAGAAGCAGAAACACAACAAGCAGCAAAACAACAAGCGTCGACAAGACCACTTCCTACAAGTCCCATCACTGGGACCTCGTCGGCACCACCTGAAGAAGCTCCGCCTGACACGAAACTCATTGACGAGCCACCACCGACCAACGCCGAACAGCTGAAGGCGCATCCTCACGAGCAGCACCGAGGCGCTGTGACTGTCTCCGCCTTCTACACCAACTCGGACCTCTACCGCCGATCTGTGGGACACATTGCGAGCGAAGAGATTTGGCATCAACGGTTAGGACCTCCCGGCAATTCAAAACTAATCGACGCTATTCATGCGAATGTCCTGGACAAGGATGCTCTTCTACTTCACGATGGTCATGAACTTCGACGACCTCGACGCACCTGCTTTATCTGCTCGGAAGCAGATCTTCCTCGTCAACCGTTCCCGTTGCACCACAACCCGAGCGCACTAGAGTACGCTCCACTCAAAAAAGGTATACAACGATCTACTGTATATCCGGCGAGAAGTCGGCCGGGCTGATCTCAACTACGTTATCACCTTCGTCGATGCCGCGACACCGTACACCTGGCATCTCAACCTACCGTGACGCGACCTCGCCTTTTCTGCCTTCGTCGCATGGCTTGCTGCAGTAGAATGGGAGGGAGACACAGAGCTGAAAAGTTTTCAGCCAGACGGGGCGATGAAATACGAGTCACAACGATTCAGGGACTTCCTCGCTGAAAGAGGAATCAAGAGGCTCCTCACCCTCCCCTACGCTCACCAACAGAATGGTGTAGCAGAGAGGATGAACAAAACCCTCAAGAACACAATGAGGAAACTACTGACTGGGATGCGCTTGCCCAACTCGCAGTGGCCGGAGACGATGAACCACGTTGTCATGCTGCAAAATCTTTTGCCGTTAAGCTCCCTGCCAAACAACGCATCACCGCATCTGCTGTGGACAGAGAAGCAAGGCAGCAAAAAATTGTTACGAGTGTTCGGCTGCATGGTACAGTTCTGTCCGCACACCGCACGAGCTAGACGATTTTCGCAGCAGGCAAGATGGGGCCTATACCTCGGTGTGGAAAAACACTAAAAGGCCTGGAAAATCTTCAACATGGAAGATACGGAAACAGTACCGGCACATGATGTGATTTTCTACGAGAACCTCACCCTCAACCATTACCTGGAGAAAATCGCAGCCAATCAAAACCCATCTAGTAGTTTCACTGGCGCACGCGCGTTTGCTTCGACCGAAGAAGAGGCAGACCTGGAGGATTAGAACGTCCCGGTTGTGTCAGCAGCTGCAGGTTCACTTCCTTACTGCTCCGTCTACATGCAGATGGATGAAGAAAACCCTCGCAAAAGCGCGAATGCCAAAGCATACTACCACTTTGCCGATACTGGTTACAGTACATAACTCCTCACAGCATCGACGCCAACGTTTGGTACCTGATCCTGGAGCGGGAGACGAGGCCGACTATCTCGAGGATCCAACACTCCCCCGCTACACCGAGACTGGCCTGCAAATCCTCGGACTCGTAGCAGCCGTGCATCCTCCGTCGTCACCGCCGCCAGTCGAGGAGTCGAAGACCGTCAAGCAAAATGGAGGGAGGCAATAGATCAAGAATTAGTTGCACTGCACGAGCAAAACACTTAATAGCTAATACCGATTTCTCAGACCAAGGGGAAGACCATCCTCTCCGAAAAGTGGGTCTTCCGAGTGAAGACCAAGGCAGATGGAGCCATCGAACTATTCAAAGCACGATGGGTGGTTCACGGCTCCGACCAGCAGTACGTTAGCGACTACACCGAGACATTCGCTCCACTGAGTCGCCACACTTTACTTCGCATTCTCCTCGCCGTCGCCGCCACCCGCCGCCTTCCTCTGCGACAAATCTACGTCACCACCACGTTCCTCTACGCCCCTGTTGATGCCGACATCATCGTCAAGCAACCCCACGCCTACGTCGACGACCCAACACTAGTCTGCCAACTGGTCAAATCCCTCTATGGGATCAAACAGGCCCCACGCTAGTGGCAGCAGTACCTGCACCGGATCCTCACCACCATGGACTTTGCCCAACTCCCCCATGACCAAGGCATGTACAGGCTGTCACGCAGCGGCGACTACATCGTGCTGATTGTCTACGTGGATGACCTGCTCTACGTCGGCTCCACCGCTTCCATCACAGTCTGGTTCGAAGGAGAGCTAGAAATCCAGCTCACGATCCCTGTATCACCTAACGTGATGCAATATCTTGGCCTCAACGTTACTGACGGCCCGAACACCATCCACCTATCGACATCGAAGTACGCCGATACCATCGCTCGGAGATTTGACCTCTCCCCGCTACCTCTCGCTACTTCATACACCTACGCGCCGCCAGCACCCGCGTCGACCGTCTCGCTACTCACACCAGCCGAGATCCAGGATAATCAGCAGAAACTGGGATGTCTGTTGTTCGCCACCGTTATCTGCCGTCCTAATCTCTCCTACGTCGCTAGCTAGCTTATCGGCCTGACCTACCACAAAAACTCTACTACCAAAACCGAAATCATCGGCTACGTCGACGCAGATCACGCCGGCGACAAGGACAACCGACGCTCACGCACGGGCTACATCTACCGTGTGGAACCTATCGGCACTATCTCCGGGCACTTAGGAAAGCAAGAACTCATCGCTCTCTCATCTGCGGAAGCTGAATATATCGCCCCCTGCACAGCCACAAAGGACTGTACCTGCGCGAGCTGCTCGAAGAAGCGAAGATTGCTGAGTTACCAAGCTTCACCCTTTTTTGTGACAACCAATAAGCAATCATAATCACCAACAAAAACGGATTCGCGAACAGGACGAAGCACATCTCGCTTCGCTAAATTTTTTTTCGTGAAGGACGAGATCAAGTAGGGACGCCTCCAATTGTTCTACTGCCCCACCACAGAAATGGCAGCTGAATACTTGACCAAGAAGCTGATGAAGTCGAAGTTCCAGTACTGTATGTTGCTGACTGGAATGCAACACGTCAGCAACCTCGACCACATCAACACTCCAGAAATAAAGGAGGGTGTTGGAAATGATAAAAGAACTTAAGACATTTCCGGAGTCTCGGGTGAGTGTACGAATACGCGAAGACTGTAACAATGGAGATCACCGAGTCAACACTGCTACAGTACTACCGACAGTTGACACAGGTTGACGACACCCCGCAGAGGTTACGAAAGGGTAATGGTCGCAAACCGTTGACCGTGCAACCCAACGGTCAGAATCGCAAGAATCAAGAGTCAGTGCAACAGTAAGGACTAATAACTGTTCCGATATTAAAGTACGAGTGGTTGCCCAAGTCGCCTTATCGAGTCGTAAAAACGGAATGTACCCATTGAAGTGCAAAAACAGTTAGACTTTTCATATTCTCTTGTATTATTATATAAACCTTGTATCCCTTTGCGATAATCAATCACTTGTTCTCACATACCAGTAGAAGGGTTCAACTCAAGACTTCCACTGTGCTATCAAGCACTCTGTTACAAGGACTTAGCCTTCTGAAAAGATCCTTGGGCTACTCTCAGCCCAACAAGGGGGAGGTGGAGCAGGGCATACGATTGGTTTTGAGGCACCCCTATTTAGTTTGGTTTTTCAGGGTCTCCTCCAAAAAAATACTGAAATTTTAGGGTTCCCTGAAAAGTTTCTGCTTAGCTGTTAGGGTTACCTTAAAATACTCCGCTGTGCATTTTCCCTGGATATTTTCCTTATCCCACACTCTGGCGGACTTCACATCAGAAAACCTTTCGATCGAATGTCGCCGACCAGTCCAATTGTATAGTCGAATGAGATTGTTGGGGCGGAAGAGGGGAATCTCGCCCTCACGTAAAACCCCCGAAGGCACGCATCAGGCGATAAATCTGGCTAAGGGCCCACACATGTTGTCCTTTTCACACAACCCCCAACACTAGCCAAAGGGCCAATTCGTGCCATTACACAATCCCCAAACAAACGGTAGTCATAAGGGCCAAAAAGTGCCCTCACACAGCCCCCCGGCACACATCGAGCAGGGGAAAGAAGCGGACACTACAGCAGGCCTTCCTCATGCTATTGCTGGATTCAGGGTAGCCCTCCGATCGTACATAGTGGCAAGGAGGTTGAACAGACGAACGGAGTAAAAAAGGCTGAAATCTTAGGGTTGGGTGGATAAAAACCCTAGCAACTCAGGGCTGGTAAAAGAAAACACTCTGAAAAAATCCGGAATCAAGGTAAATGGCCTGAAATCTGGGGGCCAGGAGGAGAAATGTGGTGCGAGGAGCGAGGACGAGGTGAGAATTGGACGAGAGGAATATTAATTTACATTGTCCGGACCCTTTATGTATTACAAGAATCAACCATGGATTTTTTTTTATACAAATTTGGTAGAGCCAAGAAAAATATCCAACAATTTCTGAAAAAACATGCATGAGCCATAACTGTTATTGGTGCATAAAGGCCGATCCAAACTTTTCCCAGATTGCACCTCACCCTCGTTCTCCCTTCGAACCACACAATATCGCGTTTCGAGTTTCACCAGGTCAAACAGTTCGATCCGTGTCCCTTTCCCCGACTCCACCGCTAGTTGACCTGACAGTGGCACCACAACACAACCATCCGAGATTTCTGAGAGGTTTGCTCCGCACCGTAGAGCAAGCAGTCACAGGACATGGTCCATCAATGAATCTCCACACTGTAGATGCTCCAAGCCGTTTGCTCCTGAAATCTCCGAGGCTTTACAACGGCTCTGCGCTCCTCGGTGCAACGGGATCTGAGCAAGGGCACGGGCTCTAACGGCGTGTGACATTGTACCGATAGCGATTCGCGAGGGTGTTGACGGGTCCAGCCTGGCACTATCTGATAAGAATATCTGCGGATTAGTACCCGTGGCGTCGTAGCTCGTTTCGGGAAACATGAACCAGTGATGAAGCACGACAGCGCCGCTTATTCAACGGAACTCGCGGCCTACCTAGATCCATCATCTTTTCCACATCATTGAAACAGTTTTGTAGTACTAATTCACCGTTCCCTCGACTCGTTCGTGTCCACCGTTACTCAACGAATCACGGATTTCTTGTCCTCTTATCCTCGCAGTTAGTTACCGCCTCAACGTAACAGTAGTCGTTTCGAACCCAGTCTATACTGCGTATAGGAAACCTCGCTATTACCTCATCATGGCAATGGCGCTGGCGCGCGAGCGGACAGTCTCCGCCTGCCTGCCTTCCGCCTACCGCCTCTCCTACCTCCTCTTCCGCACCATTCACCGCCACACACGCGCCTCCGCCCCTTCCCCGTCCGCCGCTTCCCCTTGCGCCTCTGACCGCCCTATTTCCTCCCCCTCTCCGCTTCTCCCCCTTCCACCATCTGCGCTTCCGCCATGCGGCGCAACAAGCATCCCCGCTTTCCGCTTCGCCCCGCCTGCGCCTGGCGCTCTTCCTCAGCTCACTTCCGCCCCCGCCGCCTCTTCCGCCGACCTCCCCCCTCGCTATTACTCCGCAGCCCCGCCAAACTCCCAACCGCAGGGGGTAGTCAGCGGTCTTGCCACACACGTCAGCCGAACCTTTCCCCGAACCTGTCTCTCCGAACCTGTCGGAACCTCCAGCTTCGGCAGCAGTACGGTCACGAGGTGCTTCAGCGCAGCAGCGGACGGCGAGGCGGGAGGCGCGGGGAGCAGTCATCATACTCATCCGCATAATCAGGGAATAGTCGGCGGCCCGGACGATCGCGAGGTGGCTCTAGATTCCGTAGTTAAATTGTTCGCCGTCGCGAGCAGTCCCAACTACTGGCTCCCCTGGCAGAGCAAGCCGCAGCGCGAAGTAACCGGGTCCGGATTCGTTGTGTCGGGACGGCGCATCCTCACGAGTGCGCACGTGGTCGCGGACCACACGTTCGTACTCGTTAGAAGGCACGGATCCCCTAAGAAGTTCCTCGCTACAGTGGAAGCGGTGGCGCACGACTGCGACCTGGCGCTGCTATCAGTCAAAGACCCCGCGACCGTGGGGAAGGGGGAGGGGGGGATCAACGGCGGGGGAAGCGGAGATGCGCGCGCGGATAGCGAGGAGTTTTGGGAGGGCATGCACTCGCTAGAGCTGGGGGACGTGCCTCTGCTGCAGGAGTCGATTGCGGTGGTGGGATACCCGCAAGGTGGGATGTGCATCAGGTAAAGCCAAGGTGAAGGCCCCATGCGGTATTCCTATCTCTATACCTAGGGGCCGTGCCTCTGCTGCAGGAGTCGATCGCAGTGGTGGTGGGATAGCCCCAAGGTGAGAGATGCATGGGGATGTGGCAGCATGAGCATCGCAATGCGGGTGGTGATCCAAGTAAAGCCAACATAGTACATGCACAGCGCAGCTCCCCTGTCCCTTCCCCTGCCTCCTCCCTTCAGGCGTTGACAACATTAGCATCACAATGGGGTGGTAATCCGAGTATAGCCAACACAGTACACGCACAGCGCGGCTCAACTGCTGCCGCTTCAATAGACGCTCCCGTTGAACTTCCTCCCCTCCACTTCAGGTGGCGACAAAATCAGCATAATCATGGGCATAGGAGCCGAGTAAAGCCGACCGAATACGTGCACGTGCACAGCGCAACTCACCTGCTGCCCTCCCCCTCTCGCCCCCACTTCAGGTGGCGACAACATCAGCATAACGATGGGCGTCGTTTCCAGAGTGGAGCCAACGCAGTACGTGCACAGCGCAGCCCACCTGCTGGCCATTCAAATCGACGCTGCTATTAACCCTGGCAACAGCGGGGGGCCGGCTCTTATCATGGCGCCCGTTGCTCACGCACAGGGAGATGGGGGGGAAGGGGGAGTAGGAGGAGGAGGGGGAAGTGTGGGGGCAGCAGGGGGAGGAGTTATGGGGGGAGGGGTATGGGGAGAGGGAGGGGCGAGGGGGGGTGCAGGAGGGGAGGGAGGGCAGCAGATGGAGTACCGCGTGGCCGGCCTGGCGTTTCAGAACCTGTCAGGGGCGGAGAACATCGGGTGAGTAGATGGGCACAGAAAGGGAAGGGAAAAAGCGCATGCATGATTCATTTGATGCATGATTCATTTGATGCATGATTCATTTGATGCATGATTCATTTGATGCATGATTCATTTGATGCATGATTCATTTGATGTGCGCAGACGCGGCGCTGGGCCACTGCCGCTTCCCAGGGTTGGCCTCCCTGGGAGTGTCGTGCCAGCCGCTGGAGAACTGGCAGCTCAAGCACCTGCTCCCTCCCTGCTCCCTCCCATGCTCCCCTCCTATCATCAGCCGCTGGAGAACTGGCAGCTGTGGTACTTTTGAGTCGTCTCAAAAGTCATGAGGCTGCTTCTCACCTATTTTGGCCCCTCCCCACTCCTACTCTTCCTGGGAGTGTCCTGCCAGCCGCTAGCAGGGGCAGCTGAGGCACATGCGCCCTCCCCTGCTCCCCCCTGTGCTCCCCTCCTGTCCTCAGTGCTTTTGCCTCTGCTCGTCTTCTGCCCTGCATTCAAACCCCGTCCACCCCATCCCCCCTGCCATTTCCTCCCCCCTTCCCCTCTCCTCAGCTACATCGTCCCAGTGCCCATAATCCGTCACTTCCTAGCAGACGCTGCGTTGGGTCGTCGCTGCTTCCCTACTCCCCTCCTACTCTCCGCCCTTCTCTCTCCCATCACCTTTGCCCCCCTTCTACCTCTGCATCTTCTCCCCTCACCAGCTACATTGTCCCAGTGCCTATAATCCGTCGGTTCCTAGCAGACGCGGCGTTGGGACACCGCCGCTTCCCGGGGTTCGCCTCCCTGGGGGTGTCGTGCCAACCGCTGGAGAACTGGCAGCTGCGGGCGCACCTCAAGATGCCACGTGGCGCAACGGGAGTGGTTGTGAATGCAGTGCAGCCGCTGAGCGACTCCAGCCGGTGGCTGAAGAATGACGATGTGTTGACAGCGTTTGATGGCGTTCCCATTGCCAATGACGGCTCCAGTGAGTATCACCAACGCTAGGTGGGGTGAGTAAGTAATAGCTGCTTCACTACTCGACTCAAGAAGGATGTGGTTGTGAGCGGTTGGGAGTGGTTGTGAACGGTTGGCTTGGGTTGGGTTGGGAGTGGTTGTGAACAGTTGGGTTGGGTTGGGAGTTGTTGTGAATACGGTGCATCCGCTGGGCGACTCGAGCTGGTGGCTGAAAACCGACGATGCGCTGACGGACGGCGTTTGATGCCCCCCCCATCACGAATGATGGACGGATCCAGTGAGTGTCACGGATGTTAGGTGCGGTGAGGGACTTGCTTCCAAGTGTCATACATACTTTTGAGGCGCCTCAAAGGCGGTGAGCGACTTGCTTCCAAGAGTCCTCATACATGCTTTTGAGGCGCCTCAAAGGCGGTGAGCGACTTGCTTCCAAGAGTCCTCATACATGCTTTTGAGGCGCCTCAAAGGCGGTGAGCGACTTGCTTCCAAGAGTCTCATACATGCTTTTGAGGCGCCTCAAAGGCGGTGAGCGACTTGCTTCCAAGAGTCCTCATACATGCTTTTGAGGCGCCTCAAAGGCGGTGAGCGACTTGCTTCCAAGAGTCCTCATACATGCTTTTGAGGCGCCTCAACGGCGGTGAGCGACTTGCTTCCAAGAGTCTCATACATGCTTTTGAGGCGCCTCAAAGGCGGTGAGGGACTTGCTTCCAAGAGTCCTCATACATGCTTTTGAGGCGCCTCAAAGGCGGTGAGGGACTTGCTTCCAAGAGTCCTCATACATGCTTTTGAGGCGCCTCAAAGGCGGTGAGCGACTTGCTTCCAAGAGTCCTCATACATGCTTTTGAGGCCCCTTTAAAGGCGGTTAGCGACTTGCTTCCAAGAGTCCTCATACATGTTTTTTTAAGGTGCCTCAACGGCGGTGAGCGACTTGCTTCCAAGAGTCCTCATACATGCTTTTGAGGCGCCTCAAAGGCGGTGAGCGACTTGCTTCCAAGAGTCCTCATACATGCTTTTGAGGCGCCTCAACGGCGGTGAGCGACTTGCTTCCAAGAGTCCTCATACATGCTTTTGTGGCGCCTCAAATGCGGTGAGGGACTAGCTTCCAAGAGTCCTCATACATGCTTTTGAGGTGCCTCTAAGGCGGTGAGCGACTTGCTTCCAAGAGTCCTCATACATGCTCTTTAGGCGCCTCAAAGGCGGTGAGGGACTTGCTTCCAAGAGTCCTCATACATGCTTTTGAGGCGCCTCAAAGGCGGTGAGCGACTTGCTTCCAAGAGTCCTCATACATGCTTTTGAGGCGCCTCAAAGGCGGTGAGGGACTTGCTTCCAAGAGTCCTCATACATGCTTTTGAGGCGCCTCAAAGGCGGTGAGCGACTTGCTTCAAAGAGTCCCCATACATGGTTCACACTGGCTCCTTGCTGCTTATCTGTCGCAGTGGTTGTACTGGCAGTGGCTGTGCTGGTAGCTTCCGTTCCTCCCAAGGCGGCAGCTTCAACTGAGCCCGCTCAGGCAGCTGCTCCATCTGAGCCCGTTGCGCTGCCGCACAGAAAGACAGCTGGAGAGTCAGAAGGAGCAGCAGCCTCAGTTGCAGCTGCAGCCTGCAGCCTCAGGGGGAAGGGAAGCTCAGGCAGCTGTTCAATCCAACTGAGCCCGCTCAAGCAGCTGCTCCATCTGAGCCCGTTGAGCTGCCGCACAGACAGCTGGCGACTCAGAAGGAAGGAGCAGCAGCCTTAGTTGCAGCTGCAGCCTCCAGCCTCAGGGGAAACAGAAGCTGTCGTTACAACCACTGCCGTTACAGCCATTACTAGTACAGCCACTGCCAGTGCAGCCACTGCTAGTACAGCCATCACCAGTACTGCCACTGCCAGTGCAGCCACTCCAAAGGAGTGAATACCATTCAACCCCCCCTCCCTCCCCCTCCTCCTTCACTAAGCCAATATAGGCTTCAAATCCCTCTCTCGCTTCACCACCTCCCAGTTATGTTCTGCAAGAGGTAGAGCGCCCTTCGACTATGTCGAATCCTCTTGTGCGCTCATCCCACCTTCCCTCTCCCTCATTCCCGCTGCTCTCTCCCTCCCTCATTCCTGCTGCTCTCTCCCTCCCTCATTCCTCCTCCAGTAATGTTTCGCAAGAGGGAGCGCCTGCCCTTTGACTACCTTGTGTCTCTCAAGCCCGTGGGCGAGACTGCCAGAGTGTCGGTGCTGCGGGGAGGCCAGCCCATGGACTTCGACATCCAGCTCAACCCGGTGAGCCTCATGCAGCGCGGCTCTTGCAATGGCAGCGGGGCTTGAAGCTACATATAGTCGCCTGGGAGGCTGTACTTGGGGCAATGCTTTCGTCACGAGTCCCCCCCTTGGAGAAAATGCGAAGGTGTGGGTGCTGCGGGGAGGCCAGCCCATGGACTTCGACATCCAGCTCAACCCGGTAGGTGCCCGTCTTTGACGCGTGCTCACACGCTGGTATCGTCCTGCATGTGATCAGCGGCAGTACAGCAGTGCCAGCAGTGCCAGCAGTGCCAGCAGTGCCAGCAGCAGCAGCAGCAGCAGCAGTTTGGCATCTCGCCCTCATTCCTTCATCTTGCATGTAGGCTTGAGCAACGACCCGAACCCGAGTTTTGCCCGGGGCGGGTCGACCCTTGACCTGACATTTCTGTTCTTGCTGGGTCGGATCAGGTCGGTTCGACCCGACCTGAATTCGGGTCGCACGCCGACCCAACGGGAACCAGTGCGGCCTGAGCCACGCTGGTAGGAAAAATCAACCATATGGTCGAAAGGCGGAGCAGGGGAATGGAATGGATGACCCAAACTCTGAAAATCTCAACGTTTAGGGCCCTCAAAAAGTGGCGGGTCGGGTGACATGCCCTTGACCCGACCTGCTGGTCAGGGATAACCTGACCTGTTTTGGCTGGGTCGGGTTGGAAATATGCTGGGGTCTACCCGACCCGAACCAGTCCCAACCTCGGGTCTAGCAAAGCCGAGTCGGGGCGGGTTGGGTCGACTTGTTGCTCAACCCTACTCGAATGTGCTTCGTCCTCCCGCCTCTCCTCCCCCTCCACCCGCATCAGATCTCAGCACTGGTGCCAAGGCAGCAGTTCAACAACTCCCCTTCATACTTCATATTTGCCGGTCTCGTCTTCGTGTCGCTCACCCAGCCATGAGTACGGCCCTGACTGGCTGCTGACTGGCTGGTTCAACAGCAGCCCTATCTGCTAGCATTCACTACATCTACATGCTCTCCCTCCCTTCTCCCTCCACCCCATCAGATCCCAGCACTTGTCCCAGCGCAGCAGTTTGACATCTCCCCCTCCTACTTCATATTCGCCGGGCTGGTATTCGTGCCGCTGACCCAGCCCTACCTGCACGAGTACGGCCCTGACTGGTTCAACAGCAGCCCCCGCCGGCTGTGCGAGCGGGCCTTGAGAGACATCCCCAAGAAACCCAGCCAGCAGATCGTGATTCTCAGCAGGGTGAGAGGGAGGAAGGGAAGGAGGGAGGAATAGAGAAAGGAGAGTGCGTTGAAAAGAGATTGTGATTCTCAGCAGGGTGAGTACATTGAACAAGTTTTTGTCATAGCCAAACAAGCCGTAGCAAAACAAGCTGTAGCCATAGCCAAACAAGCCATAGCAAAACAAGCTGTAGCCATAGCCAAACAAGCCATCGCAAAACAAGCTGTAGCCATAGCCAGACAAGCCATAGCAAAACAAGCTGTAGCCATAGCCAAGCAAGCCGTAGCCTTAGCCAAACAAGCCATAGCAAAATAAGCTGTAGCCATAGCCAAACAAACCATAGCCAAACATGCCGTAGCAATAGCAAAAAAGCCGGTAGCCATAGCAAAACAAGCCGTAGTTATAGCCAAACAAGCCGCTGCTGTTTTTGCTGCGACTATGGCTTGTTTGGCTATGTCTGCGGCTTGTTTGGCTCTGGCCTCTTCTTGTTTGGCTATGACTACAACTTCCTGGCTGACTACGGTTTGTTCGACTATGGAGGCGGCTTGCTTGGCTATTGCTACAGCTTGTTTGCTCATGGCTACGGTTTTTCGGCTATGACTTCGGCTTGTCTGGTTATGGCTACAGGCTTGTTCGACGATGGCTACAGCTGTTGGCAGTTAAAGTACGCTGTTATCTAAGCCCTCTTTCCCCCTCCCTCTCCCCCCTTTCTCTCTGCTCGCGTATCTTTTTCTTTGCCTGTCCCCTCTTCTCCTCGCCACGAGTAGGTGCTGGCAGACGAGGTCAACTCGGGCTTTGAGAGGCTGGCAGAGCTGCAGGTGAGGAGAGGGAGACTTGGGTGGCAGCAGTGCTATGCAAGGCAGTGCTGTGCAAAGTAGTGCAGTGCACGGTAGTGGGAGTGGGTCAAACTAGTTGAGGGGCTACGAGCGCTGGGCAATGGGGTCAACTCGGGCTTCGAGAGGCTGGCAGAGCAGCAGGTGAGATGAGGAGAGAGTGTTCATGGTTTATGGGTGATCCAAAGGTGTAATGGGATGGGTTAAGGGCTGCAAATGTGCATATGCATGCATGTATGTATGTATGTATGTATGTATGTATGTATGTATGTATGTATGTGTGTGTGTGTGTGTGTGTGTGTGTGTGTGTCTGTGTCTGTGTGTCTGTGTGTGTGTCTGTGTGTGTGTCTGTGTGTGTGTCTGTGTGTGTGTCTGTGTGTGTGTCTGTGTGTCTGTCTGTGTGTCTGTCTGTGTGTCTGTCTGTGTGTCTGTCTGTGTGTGTGTCTGTGTGTCTGTGTGTCTGTGTGTCTGTGTGTCTGTGTGTCTGTGTGTCTGTGTGTCTGTGTCTGTGTGTCTGTGTGTCTGTGTGTCTGTGTGTCTGTGTCTGTGTGTCTGTGTGTCTGTGTGTCTGTGTGTCTGTGTGTCTGTGTGTGTGTCTGTGTCTGTGTCTGTGTCTGTGTGTGTGTCTGTGTGTGTGTGTGTGTGTGTCTCTGTGTCTCTGTGTCTCTGTGTCTCTGTGTCTGTGTGTCTCTGTGTGTCTGTGTGTCTGTGTGTCTGTGTGTCTGTGTGTCTGTGTGCCTGTGTGTGTGTGTGTGTGTGTGTGTGTGTGTGTGTGTGTGTGTGTGTGTGTGTGTGTGTGTGTGTGTCTGTATGTATGTATGTATGTATGCATGTAGCATGTAAGTTGTGAGTGCATGCCTCATGCCCTCCCTGCCAGGTCAAGCAAGTCAATGGCAGGGAGGTGGACAGCTAGAGGCATCAGCAGTATTCCATGCATGCATGCATGCATCTGTGCACCCACAAGTGCTTGTCCCATCCCCTCCCTGTCAGGTCAAGCGTGTCAACGGCAGGGAGGTGGACAGCTTGAGGCAGCTACGCGACGAAGTGCTACAGTGCACAGACGGCTTCGTCAGATTCGATTTGGAGGACGACCGGGTGATTGCTGTCAGCGTGTCTGCAGCGAAGAAGGTGCGCGGATCCTTCCTGTTGCTTCCTTGCTGTTGGCATCACTCCATTCTGCTGCATTAAGTTTGTCTGCACCGTCGCTACGACAATGGCATGACATGCACTACCTTGTGCCGTGTGCGTCGTTTTGATCGACTAGGAGTGTGCCCCCTCTTGTGTGCGTTTGAGCCCACTCGTTTGTGTACCCATCCCACCCCCACCCCCCCACCCCCCCAACCTCTTCTCGCCCCTGTTCCCCTACGCTCTCCAGGCAAGTGCGCAGATCCTCCGGCGTTATCGCGTGCCATGTGCGTCCTCCTGGGACCTGCAGCAGGGGGAGACGGAGGAAGAGAAAGGGGAGGAGGCGGAGGTGCAAGCAGGAGCGTCCTGAGCTGAGCCAGAGGCAGGAGGAGGAAACAGGGGGTGTGTGGGGGAGAGGGAGAGCGCCGTCCTGGAACCTGCAGCAGGGAGACTTAATGGGGAGTTGAGGTTCAAGTGGGGCCTTCTTGAACAATGTCATGGGCAGCAAGGGGAAAAGGGGGGATGGGTTGTCGGGGAGGGTGAGCGTCCTCCTGGGACCTGCAGCAGGGAGTGCTAGCGGGGGAGTTAGGGGGGAAGGTGGAGATTCAAGCAAGGCTTCTTGAAACGAGTAGCCAGGAGGGCAATGGGGAGGGATGGAGCTGTGTAGTGGGGGTTGAGGAATGCAGGGTGGGGGGTGGGGGTTGGGGGAGGAGAAGCGCAGATCATCCCTTTGGGACCTGCAGCAGGGAGTTGCAGCAGGCACTTGGGGTAGAACTGGAGGCCTTAGCAGGGACTCCTGTCAGGGTAAGGGGTGGGGGTGGGGGAAAGCCCACAAACGGAAGGCCCAGCGACTGGGAGTCGCAGTGAGAAAGTGGGGTGGAATCAAAGGCCCAAGCAGGCGCTTCCAGGTAGTAAGGGTTGCGGGTGGGGAAAGCCCAATAGTGCATCCTGTTACGAAAGGCAGCAGGTAGAGTCGGGAGAGGAATGCCCCGAGTAAATAAATACGAGCCCAGACATGAGCCAGGCCAGGACTCCGTAACTGTGTCGACATGGCCAAGAATGAATACTACGTAGGGCTCAGCCAATCTTGGAGAAAGTTTTAGTGGAGTCTCAGCATGGGACGCTTGCCTGCAGCACATTTGGTCCTAGAACCGCTACTACGGTTTACAAAAATGACTCGATTTTTCCGACTGGTTTACACCGTACAGCCTTTCAGGTAGTGTACCAGGGTTGGCTAAGGACACATTGTTGAGCATCTCTCCCTAAAACGTGGAACTACACATAGCTAATACAAAAAGAGAGCCCATATTCAAAGGGCAAAAGATTTCCGTTGCCGGGACTTGAACCCGGGTCTTTCGGGTGAGAGCCGAATATCCTAACCGACTAGACTACAACGGATGTCGTTTAAGAGATAGAAGTTTAATACACAAAGTTAAACTAAAATAGTCAAGCATATTTATTTCAGTTATATGGTTCACGTGCCTTGCAAGCTGATGGACAGATAATACTTGCAGTAGTCCCACACAGGGAGCAGCATTGGTGGCACCGCAGCACTCGACTGACAGAGAGTTTCGCAAGCGGAGTCGCCGGGCGGCGGTAGGCCATGCGATGATGTCGCCTCTCTCTGTCGCCATGCAGGGAGGCGGTCGCGTGCTCAGCATTCAGTCGCACACCGTCCAGGTAAGCGTCGCATTCAGTCGCACGCGTTCAGTCGCACAGCGTCCAGGTGACGATACAAAGGCGACATTACCCCGGCGTAACCAGGGAGGGACCAGATTGCGGCTTTAGCTAACGCTAGGGCACGCGCACAGCTTCTGGTAGCTGGAGCTCTTTTTGAGGTGCGAGGATGACTTGCGAGTATGACGTGTGAGGATGGCCTGCGTTATCCTTGCACGTTGAACCTTAAACCCTCGATCCCAGTGAAGGTTACTGTGACTGCACGTGCGGCATGTGCACGTGCATGTGAATGTGAAGTTGAATGCACGTGCATGTGAATGTGAAGTTGAATGCACGTGCATATGGCATACGGAATGATTATGATAAACTGCATTCACGAACCCATGTTCCTTGTCCTCATGCCCAACAGGGCTATGTGGGCAACAAGGCGGCAGTGTTTCCCCTGCAGCTGCTGGGGTTTGATGTGGACCCCATCAACTCCGTGCAGTTCTCCAACCACACAGGTAGGGTGGTAACCACACGTGTTACTTGAAGTTGAATTATGTTGTTCGTTACCACATGATTTGACATGGATCCAATCAACTCAGTGCCGTTCTCTAACCACACAGGTAGGGTGGTAACCACACGCGTTACTTGACTCATATCATTCGCATGTTTTGATGTGGATACCATCCCATCCCATCAACGCGGTGAAGTTTTCCAACCATACAGGTGAGATGTGGTAACCAGGAGTTAAAGCTGCGTAACCATGTTGACACTACGTACGTGTTACGGCGCCATTCAAAGTGAGATACACGTTGAATGGTGCGGCTCTCCAGCCATACAGGTAGGGCGGTAACCAGACGTGTGAGATGTGTAACCAGACTCTCACAAGATGCGTTGCCACATGATTCCACCAATGTGGAGGACCCCATCATCAACTCCATGCAGCTCTGCAAGATAACCTGCGCAGAATGCATTGGTACGGTATCTTGCAACACGAAACCAATGCATAATGTCATGCCATTTCCATGTCCCTTGGGTGCGTCAATGGTGAGAGCCATACATCCCACACCCCCTCATGATTGCAGAGTATCCCACATGGAAAGGTCAAACCTTGGATTGGATGGGGAGCAGCTGTGGGCGCTGGTAGACAGGGTCATCAGCTATGGGCCTTGAATGCTTCCAGCTATGGGCCTTGAATGCTTCCAGCTATGGGCCTTGAATGCTTCCAGCTATGGCCTTTGCATGCTTCCAGCTATGGGCCTTGAATGTTTCCAGCTATGGGCCTTGAATGCTTCCAGCTATGGGCCCACCATCCATGCTCCCAGTGCCTTGCATGCCATCCGTGCCTTGCATGCCATCCGTGCCTTGCATGCCATGCGTTCCTGCCTTGCCATACCATACTGCTTTACCAATGCAGGCTACCCCACGTGGAAAGGACAAATCTTGGACGGCGAGCAGCTATGGGCGCTGATAGAGGGGCTCGAGGCCAATGGGCTGCTCTTCTACACGCACCTGCTCACTGGTGTGGCTGGTATTGTGGGGTGTGTGTGGACTAAAGCTTGCATACACGCACCTGCTCACTGGTATGGCTGGTATTGTGGGGTGTGTGTGGACTTAAGCTTGCATGCACGCACCTGCTCACTGGTATGGCTGGTATTGTGGGGTGTGTGTAGACTTAAGCTTGCACGCACTCACCAGCTCACTGGTATGCATTGACGTGGCTCGACTCACAATCGTCAAGTGCACACCGATAGAGGGGCTAGACGCGAATGGACTGCTCTTCTGCACTCACCTGCTCTCTGGTGGGGGTGGTGGGGTGGATTGAATAGAAGCTTGCACACTCACTCACCTCCTCAATGCATCGAAGTGCCTTGACTCACAAGTGACCTTTGATTGAATTCACAAGTACGCACTGCTTGAGGGGATAGAGGCCAATGGACTGCTATTCTGCATGCACCTGCTCACTGGTAGACTTGAAGGGGCTCTGCTGAGTCACAGGTTTGTGGGTGGGAGGATACTCCCCGCCCTACTTTCATCTCATCTCCTCACCTCACCGCCATGTGTTGTTCACCCCCCGCCGCCCTACTAACACCTGTCCTCCCATTTGATTCCGGGGTTGAAATTCTCAGTTTTGTTTTTAGCGGGGTACTTTTGCAAAAGTCCCTTCTAGGAGCTAATCTGGCATCTTCCTAGCTGCACCTCGCCTAGTCTGATGGCTCAAGCTACAACTGGTCCTTGTCTTTTCTCTCATCCCGTCCCTCTCTCTCTCCCTCTCTCTTCTCTTGCTTCCTCGCCTTCGGATCAGGTTACATCGGATCGCTCTCTTTCCTGGAAACTGTCTTGAGAGTGGTTGAGAAGCTTCGTTCAGTCAATCCAGACCTCATATACGGTACAGTATTGGCTGATGACGTAAGCATATCTATCCAACAGCGTTATATCACATGAGATTGGCTGATGACGTAACATCACTGTATGCCACAACACTCTATAAGCTGGCTCGTAAGAAGGGCACGCAGTGTAACTCTCATTTCTGATGGTTGGTTGGTACAACAATATACATCGCCAGGACGGGATGTGCATGATAGTAAATCTAGAAATCTGCTTATCACTCAGATTACCTTGACTTGTGCACTGTGCTGTGGGTTCCGGGAGTGTATTATTGTAACATTCATTGCCGTCTATTTCTCTTCCGCCCCGTTTCATTTGATGTCTCACTGTTCTGATTCACTCATTCGTGCTCTAGTCGCTCACTTGTTGTCGTCAGGGATAATGCTTTAGTTATGATGTTGATGGGGGGTGATGAAATTGTCCCGCCCTCCATGCCCCTTCGTTTTATGCACTCCCCCCCCCACCCCCCGCCCTTCCCCTCCTATCCTCAGAGGGGACAATGGCGGCCTTGACATAGCTCTTCCCCCTTCCCTTCCCCTTCTCTACCCCCCCACAGTCTTGTCCCTCCTCCCTCCTTGCCCATCTCTTCCCCACCTACCCCTTGCCCCCTCCCTCCCCACTCGTCTCGCCCCAACCGCTCCCCCTCTCAGTGTGCGACCCCGTCTTGGGGGGCTTGAAGGGCGCTTCTACATTCATGTTCCTCCCTCCTTGCCCATCTCTTCCCCTCCTGCCCCTTCCCCTCCTGCCCCTTCCCCTCCTGCCCCTTCCCCACCTGCCCCTTCCCCATCTGCCCCTTCCCCTCCTGCCCCTTCCCCACCTGCCCCTTCCCCTCCTGCCCCTTCCCCACGTGCCCCTTCCCCATCTGCCCCTTCCCCATCTGCCCCTTCCCCACGTGCCCCTTCCCCACGTGCCCCTTCCCCACGTGCCCCTTCCCCACGTGCTCCTTCCCCACCTGCCCCTTCCCCACCTGCCCCTTCCCCACCTGCCCCTTCCCCATCTCAGAAGTCACTTGGAGTCGACTCAAAAGTCATCCCAGTCTTGGGGGTGGGTTGATGGTTGCCTCTACATTCCTGTTTCTCCTCCTTGCCCATCTCTTCCCTCCCCTCTTCCCCCGCCTCATGTCTCCCCCTCCCCACCCCCTTCATCACCCCCCCTCATCCCATATCCGCCACCTCTCCCATCCCTTCCCCCCATCCACTCCCTCTCAGTGTGCGGCCCAGTCGTGGAGGTCAATATCAGAAACTGAGAACTTGATTGATTGAAATGAGCAAGAGCATACATCCTTAAGTACCGAGCATCGGAGAGGATGGGAAGGGATAAGGGAGAATCGGAGGGAATCCCAAGGGAATCCTCCCAAATCGTGGGGATTTGGGATGGATTGGGTTGGGATAGGTTGGGGATGAAAACATAGCTACACCCAACCTAACAAATATGAGTATCCCTAAAACCAAGAAAGTGTCAACACACAAAATTGTGCCAACCGAATTGCAGCCTATCTCTAACAGTCAATGGCTAGTGGGCGCCTCTAGCAGTCCGGTACCTCCTTGCCCATCACTTCCCCACCTGCCCTCGCCCCCTCTCTCCCCACTCATCTCCTCCCAGCCCCTCTCCCCCCACTGTTTGATCCAGTGATGGGCGACAATGGCCGCTGCTACATTTCTGTTTCCTCCATCCGTCCCCTTCTCATCCCCCCCTTCCCTCTCTCTCTCTGCACTCCTCCCCCCTGCATTCCCCCGTCGCACTCCTCCCCCCTGCATTCCCCCGTCGCACTCCTCCCCCCTGCATTCCCCCGTCGCACTCCTCCCCCCTGCATTCCCCCGTCGCACTCCTCCCCCCTGCATTCCCCCGTCGCACTCCTCCCCCCTGCATTCCCCCGTCGCACTCCTCCCCCCTGCATTCCCCCGTCGCACTCCTCCCCCCTGCCTTCCCCCGTCGCACTCCTCCCCCCTGCATTCCCCCGTCGCACTCCTCCCCCCTGCATTCCCCCGTCGCACTCCTCCCCCCTGCATTCCCCCGTCGCACTCCTCCCCCCTGCATTCCCCCGTCGCACTCCTCCCCCCTGCATTCCCCCGTCGCACTCCTCCCCCCTGCATTCCCCCGTCGCACTCCTCCCCCCTGCATTCCCCCGTCGCACTCCTCCCCCCTGCATTCCCCCGTCGCACTCCTCCCCCCTGCATTCCCCCGTCGCACTCCTCCCCCCTGCCTTCCCCCGTCGCACTCCTCCCCCCTGCATTCCCCCGTCGCACTCCTCCCCCCTGCATTCCCCCGTCGCACTCCTCCCCCCTGCATTCCCCCGTCGCACTCCTCCCCCCTGCATTCCCCCGTCGCACTCCTCCCCCCTGCATTCCCCCGTCGCACTCCTCCCCCCTGCATTCCCCCGTCGCACTCCTCCCCCCTGCATTCCCCCGTCGCACTCCTCCCCCCTGCATTCCCCCGTCGCACTCCTCCCCCCTGCCTGCGCTCCTCAGTGTGCGATCCAGTCATGGGGGACGATGGCCGCCTCTACATTCGCCCTGAGCTCGTCCCCATCTACCGCCACAAGGTGCACGCAGTGTGTTGTATGCATACATATATGTTTGCAAATCATTTGTATTCATTTGATTGTCCCGCTACATTCGCCCTGAGCTCGTCCTCATCTACCGCCACAAGGTGACATGACATGCACACACAGCGTTTTCGCTCCTACCCTGTCGGTGATAGGCTGTCGCTATGTGCTCTTTTTGAGTTGTCTCAAAAGCTCGCAACCTGAGAAGGTTCCTACCCCGTCGCTGTGCTCCTCATCCATCATCATCACATTACCTCAACCTCCGTCCATTTTTGAGGCGCCTAAAAAGTAGACTCACAAACTGAGAATATTCCTGAATCCTACCCGTCGCTACGTGCTCCTTGACCATTTGATTCCCTCAACCTCCGTCCCCATCCGCCCCTGAGCTCCTCCTCCTCCCCATCCATCTACCGCCACAAGGTCACATGGCATGGCATGGCATGGCATGGCATGACATGCACACACACCGTTTCCACTCCTACCACATGCACCCCCGCCAGGTGGTGCCAGTGGCAACACTGATCACCCCTAACCAGTTTGAGGCGGAGCAGCTCACTGGTCTCAGGTCAGTCGGTCACACGTGGTTGTGCTTGTTAGTCAATGTATTTTCTGGTTATGCTCTTAGGTTAGAAGTTATACAACCTAAATTTGATGTGAGAAGCGGGTCAATGGTGAGAGGGGGCGGCACCACGGCGGTGAAGAAAGACAGAAGTGTAACAATGTAACAAAGTAACAATGTAACCCTTCATCACGACACGACAGATACATCATCTTATGCCTCGTTCGTTCCCCCTTCCTTGCTCCGGGCCGGACTCAAAGTGGCGCCACTCGGGCGTGTGATTATGACATGGGCATCAAACGAGATGCTGTGCCACATCTTGCAATATTGGCTGGTGTCTATGCATTTGTGCATGTGCATGTGTACATCTCTCGTGTGTGTCGTTTTCCTCTCCCCTTCTCAGCATCCGCACTCAAGCTGATGCCATCACAGCATGCGACATGCTGCATGCTGCAGGGCCCACTAAGGTATGCTGGCTGACGTCATGCTATGCTTTTTCCTGTTATGGAGTGCTTGCTGACGTGATGGTATGCTGGCTGACGTCAAGTTATGTCCATCGTATTCGTGCCGACGTCATTGAATACTGGCTGACGCCATTATAGGTTGGCTGGCATCATAAGGGCTTGGTTGGTAACATGGCTTTGAGGGGTCCGACGTTTTGCCTTGGCTGGCGTATTCGACATCAGCATCCTCCTCTCCCACCATAAGATAGCCTTTTGAGTCGACTCAAAAGTCATTGCACGGGGTAATCAGCATCTGCAGCACCCTCTCCTCATCAGATGTTCCACCACGCGATCGTGACAACACGCAGACAGCAGCAGCAGCTGCTGCCGATATGGTGAACTGCTGCGCTATCAACATTTCCACCCACACCAAAAGATTGGCAACGATATGAGGAGTGCCTCGTGAGCGACCCCCCTTTCAACCCCTCTCTCAACCCTTCTCAACCCCTTTCAACCTCTCTCATGTCCAACCTCCACCTCCCAAAAGGTGGTGATAACGAGCATGGAGGTGGATGGTCGGCTGGTGGTGGTGGGGAGTGATGCTTCCTGCAATGATCTAGATGAGGTGTGGCGGCAGAGAGCAGTGATGTGTCATGTGTCGGCTGGTGTGTCGTGTATCCTCTTCAAAGCCCCACCTCCACCTCCCCATCCCCCCTCTCTCCCCTCACCTCACCACCACCTTAGCCACTCTTCCGGTCTCCTCTCACGCCACTTCGTTTATCACACATTTTGCCTTGCACCTTTTCTCCCTTCTTCCTCCGTCGCTGCATGTTCCCCCCCTCCCCCCCACCCTCGCTCTCCTTGATGTGTTCAGCAACACTTGGCCCCCTCTCCCTCTCCATCCCATGTTGTCATTTGAACACTTGCCCGCAGTGCGCCCCAGTTGTTCCCACCAGATGTAATCATTTTGTTGTTTTTTCCCCGATTGTACTTCAGAGTGGCTCCAAGTCACCCGCCTTGAAGCGGTTCTGCATAGCTGTACCCAAGATTCCGAAATACTTCACTGTAAGTCAACATTTTTACATCAAGTAGTAATTGTATTTGTTGCCCAGTTCTTATTGCAATGGAAACTGCTTTTTCTGTGTGTGTTTTTTTCTCAATGCGTCATGCATTAACTGTGACATAGCTTCAAGCTGTCGTGAATACAATGTGCCATAAGCATGCCCATGTCCATGTTTTTCGCGTTTGCCACATGGCTTATCCCACATCCGCATGCAACTGGGTGCATGCAGGGAACGGGAGATCTGATGACTGCGTTGCTTCTCGGATGGTCACATGTAAGTCTGTCGGTTACGTGTCACTGTGCTGGTTACATGTCAGTCTCTTGATTACAGTACGTCTGTCTGCTGGTTACATCTCAGTTTGCTGGTTTGTCTCAACGTTCTGGTTACACCTCCTTGTCCTGTCACCCCTGCAGCCCATCTTAGTGTTGTTGAGTATCTCTTTGGTTTCGTACATTTCTCTGTTACGTGTAATGTTTTATATTATATTAGGTGTAGACATAAGGAGTTGGTTTATATTAGGAATAGGGTCCCCCCAGTGATTTATCAAGGCCTAGGCACCCCCAAAATCCGAAGTGGGGTACCTCACCACGCATCCCAACATTTGAGACGCGGCTCCAACCTGGACCCACGTTTCCCAACCATGAAAACGCGGCTCCAGCTTGTGGAACCACGAATCCAATTTGTGGAATCGCGGTTCCACTAGTGGGGGCGCTTCCAGACCCACTTTGAGGGTTCCTCACGTCCCCACCTTGACTGTGGGCGACTTGAGCATCCATTTGGGCACCCCAAGTCTCTTAGGTGCCATTCTCCTCACCTGGACCAGCCCAAGTCGCCCAGTGCGTCTCCATCTCTCTCTTCTTCACAATCTAGGCCTACACAGCTCTATTCACTTTTTTGTCTTACATTTTCTAGGGCTCCCCTTGGAACCGATCTTTACCATCTCCAACTTGTGCATCTTACAGCTATGCACATTGAGTCTACTTTTTTACATGATAATCAGAGCTATAGACGAGCCTCCATTGGTCAGCCCATCCGCATCTGAGTAGATTTTCCAACCATAAAGTTCCTATAAAGTTCCTCCCACCTAGACATGAGCAAAACCGGGTAATTACCCGACCCGACCCGGTTTTGCCCTACCCGCGATCGGGTCCGAGTCGGGCCGGGTCGGGTAATTTCCGGGTAATGTTTGGAGGTCTGTTACCCGACCCGACATTTTAATACCGGGTAATTGGGTACCCGTCTGGCGGGTCGGGTAATTGAAGTCGGGTAATATTACCCGGGTACCCCTAGGTGCAGGCATGAGCGAAACCGGGTATTTACCCGACCCGACCCGGTTTTGCTATACCCGACTTCAGGTCGGGTATTTTCGGGTCGGGTATGGGTCGGGTAACATGCCCAGGACCAATACCCGGACCCGTGATTTGGGGGCGGGTAATTCTATACCCGCCTGGCGGGTCCGGGTATACCCGACCCGTTTTCCTTGATAAGCGGGTAGTATTACCCGCGTTTTCCTACCCTGCTGGGCGGGCTAGACCTACGACCTAAAAACGTGAGTCGCGAGAGGCAGTAAGAGGTGCACCAGATCTTTATCAGTTCTGGTGAGTAGGGCGTGAGTGGTGAGGTGGTTGGGTTTTCGAGTTGGGATGAAGTTGTGTGCGGTTCTTGGGGGTTTGATATTTTGACCCCCAGAGTCAATTGGTTGGAACTCCAACCAATATGGTGCTGTGCGGTTGGTTGGATTCAGGTTGGGTTGCAAAATCGATGGGGGAAATTCGATTGGTTTGAATTCCAACCAATTTCCCCCAATTCAACCGCTCTGAATGCATCTGGATCTACGAAATCCAACCCCTGCCACTCTACAATGCTCTACGTGACCTAGCAGCTCACGTAACCTATGAAATTTCCCTACCAGCGCGTCCAATGTCGCGCTGGTTCCGTCGGGTAGACACGCTACCCGATTTCGGGTCGGGTACCCGTTACCCGACTTGTCGGGTAACGTTTCGGGTAGCGGGTATCGAATACCCGCCCGGGTAACCCCGACCCGACCCGCCGGGTAATTTTCAGGATTCCCGATACCCGACCCGCCCTAAAAGCGGATCCGGGTAACGGGTACTCGACCCGGGCGGGTAGTATGCTCAAGCCTACCTAGGTGGCAGTAAAATTCAGCAAATCCGGAGTAACAAACCCAAAGTCGGGTCGGGTACCCGCGACCCGACGGGTAATAAATTACACGACATTTCGGGTATTTCTCGGGTAACGGGTATGCATTACCCGGCCCGAGTACCCGACCCGACTTGGCCGGGTAATTCGTAAAAATCCTATTACCCGACTTGGCCAAAATGTCGGGTCGGGTCGGGTACCCGCGACCCGACTGAGTAAAATGCTCAAGTCTACTCCCACCCTTGGCAACATTTTCTTCAACTGTCAGCTAAGGCCATCGCGTAATTTTTTGTGGACCTCCTGTTTTGGGGCTATGGCCACTGTGGACAGCCATTTGGGACAGCTCACTTTACCCTCCCTCCTCCCCGATGGCTCCAACTTCAACCACCGGAAGCGGATGGTGTTAGGTTATATATATCTGTTGTAACATGCTATACTGGTATATTAGCTAGGTGTACACCAACCTGTGGTGTATGTTGTAAAATATATATCTATACAACATGCATGCCTAGATTATGAGGTGTAGTCATTATAATTATTGGGGGGTTGTTGGTTGGGTTGACCAACCCCACATTTGGGTTGGTCAAGATTGGATTTGGTCCTAGACATTTGGTTGGCACTATTCCAACCAAATGGTCCTTGGTCCTAGGGGTGGGAGGAGGATGGTCCTTGGTCCACTACTCACCATCCTCCTCGCCACCATTCCTCCCACCCTCAAGCGCGAGCTTGCTCCCACCTCCTCCTCCCACCTCTAGCGCCTCCTCACCGATCTCTATGATCGGCAGGACGTTGCCACCCTCTACTCCCTCATCAAGGAGTTCCAGAGCCTCACCATGGACTCTACCATCGGCGCAGCTGCCTTCACGCGTCGCGTCCTCGACCTCGCTCGGCGCCTGGCGGCTCTTGGCGTGCCGTACCCGGACCCAGTGCTCTGCTGCCACCTCCTTGAAGGCTTGACTCCTGCCTTCGACACCCATAAGATCGCCTACATGCAGCTGATCGACAAGCGCATCACCAAAGTGCAAGGGGTGTTAATCTTGTCTGCCTCCGGACAGCACCAAGCTAGTTCCTTCAGTGTACACATCAAAGTGCAAGGGGTGTTAATCCAACCCTGGAGTGGTTGGAGCCCCCGAGCACCAAGACCACAATATCGGGACCACGCAAGTGGCTCCCATGGTGGTTGGGCACTGTTCCTACCCAACTGCATGTGGCACTGTTCATCCTTCTCTTGCTAGCTTCCCTTCCTTCCCAACTTTCCTATGTATGCTCCTCTTTCTATAACTGAAATAACTTCTTGAATTCTTCCAGATGGTGGTTCTGACTTTTCAACTCGTTGGCATAGTTGGCGCCCTCGGTGACTCCACAATCACCTCTTCGTCCACCGGTCCTAGTGCTTCTTCAACGGATGACGCGCCGGCCACTCCATCCAACGAGGCTCATTGGCCTCTCCATGCCTGTTTCTCCAACCGAGGCTGCTGCCGGGTTGTGGGCTCTTCTTAACACGAAGTTTGCCAAAACTGGCAATCAACCTCAATTTGGTATGCTGCGTCAACTCTTCGCTGTCCGCATGGATCTCGGCCAGTCCGTCCGTGCCTACTTTGACCATGTTCGTGGCCTTGATCTGCAACTGCAAACCAGCGGCTATAGTCTTCCCTCTTCGGTTACTATCACCTCTATCCTTCTCGGCCTTTCCCAGTCCTACGACACCCTTACCGAGACTCTTTGCTCTGCCCGAGAAATCAAAGACATGACACTTGAGTGGCTTGAGGAACGCCTTGTGGATGCTGAGTAAGACCGTGCTGCCAAGCAATCTTCAATCCCGGCTGATGGTGCTTTTGTCGCGCAATATAGAACATCCAAACAGAATTTCAACACCTCTGCCCTCGCTCTTTGTGCTCCTCTCCCTCCTCCTCTTCCTTTTCTCCATTATGTTTCGGCGCCCTCTAGCCTCCGCCTTCACCAGCTCCCATTCCTCCTCCCCCTCCTCCTGGCTCCTTGACTCCGGCGCTTCATCTCATCTTTGCAATAATCCTCATCTATTCTCTTCCCTCCGCCGGCCGTCCTCTGGTAGTGGCGTTCGATTTGGCGGCGGTGAACAGTATCTTGCCCAAGGCATTGGTGATATCATCCTCTATGCTCGTCACGAGAACCATACGCATGCTGTTACCCTAAAGGATATCCTCTATATTCCCTAAACCATTCACAACATCATCTCAGTGCGCAAGCTTAAGAAAGAGGGTCTCACCACCCACTTTCCCCCTCATGCTCCAGCCCAACTGTTCAAGGGGTCCACTCTTCTTGCTGTTGCCTACGAGGACATGAAGCAGTTTTTCATTTCTCTCAGCACTGCTGCCTTAAAACCGCAAGCTACGGCTTCTGCTGTGTCGACCCTATTTTCACTTGTTCCAGCATCGTGTTCTGCTGCCTCTACTCTCCTTGGCTTCGACGCTTTGGGCATCTCAATGGCCCCAGCTTGCAGCAACTTCTTTCTGAACGGATGTTCAGCGGTCTCCAACTCGAGGGTTCCCTCCCTTCCAATTGCACTTCGTGCCTTCGTGGGAAACAGACTCGCCAGCCGTTCCCACCCTCCATCTCCTCCTCCTCTGCCCCGCTTGACCTCGTTCACACTGATGTCGCTGGACCCTTTCCCATTGGCACCACCTTTGGCGGCGCCACCTATATCCTTACCTTCATTGATGACTTCAGCCGCTTTACCACCATCTACCTCCTCAAATCGCGCTCTGCATTCCTCTCCACCTTTCAGCGCTATCTCGCTACTGTTGAACGCCAACGTAACACGCGCCTCAAGGTGTTGCAATCAGATGGTGCCTGGGAGTATCTTTCCGAAGCTTTTCAGGCTTTCCTCGATTCGCATGGCATCACCCAGCAGGTTTCAGCCCCGTGCACTCCGCAGCAGAATGGCGTCGTGGAGCGGATGAACCGCACCATCCTTGACATGGTGCGGTGCATGCTACATGATAGCGGCCTTCCTCGTGGTTGGTGGGGAGAAGCCACCCTCACCGCTGCCTACATTCGGAATCACTCTCCCTCCCGTTCGCTCCCTCTTACAGTCACCCCTATGGAGCTGTGGACCGGTCAGCGGCCAGATGTCACGCACTTTCGCGTGTTTGGCTGCCCCGTTTCTGTGCTTCTGTCTTCTCTTCAGCTGCCTTCTAAGTTACATGACCGTAGCGCCGCGGGCGTCTTCCTTGGCTATTGAGTCCTTGACGGTTACAAAGCCTATCGCATTTACATCCCTTGCCTCCGCCGCATGGTCTACTCCGGCGATGTCACTTTCCTTGAATCGCCTTCACCACCTCCTTCTCCGCAACCGTCACCACCCCCACCCTCCGCCCCCACTCCCACCACCATATCTTTTCCCCTTCACCCGTCTTCCCAGCCTACCACTTCCATCAACCCTGCCACCTTGCACCCACCTCCTCCACTTCCCGTAGCTATCTCTCCCTCTTCCACTCCCGCTGCAACTCCTTTCCCCACCCTCCCCACCCCACCCCTTCAAACTTACACGCTTCCATCCTTCCTCCAGCCCGCCTCTCTACCTTCTTCCTCACCCCTTCCCTTTCCATATCTTCCATCCCCAGCCGCCCAAGTCTTTCACCTCACCTTTCCCGACCCTTCCTCTCGAACCATCCTTGCTGAAGATCGCGAGTCCACCCATTTCCTTCATGATTTTGCACACATAGCCCTTCATTCCCACTACGAGCCCGCGACCATCATAGCCGCCTGTTATTGCCCTGCTGCTCCCCACTGGCTAGCCGCTGCTGATGCCGAAATCGCTGCTCTTCTCGCCAACAACACTTACAGCATTGTGCCCAAGCCACCCGGTTGCATCCCCATACCTTGCAAGTGGGTGTTCAAGGTCAAAGAAAACCTAGATGGGTCCATTGAGCGTTATAAGGCTCGCTTGGTGGTCAAAGGCTTCAAGCAATGTGAAGGCATCGACTACACAGAGACTTTTGCACCTACCATTCGCTTTGCCACGCTCTGCTTGCTCCTCACCCTTGCTACTGCTCTTGGTCTTGAGATGCATCAGCTCGACATCTCCAATGCGTTTCTCAGCGGCGATCTTGACGAGCTCATCTACATGACTCAACCACCCGGCTTCGAGCTTACTGCTCCTGATGGCTCTCCTCAAGTTTGTTTGCTGCACAAGCCCCTGTACGGCCTCAAACAAGCGCCCCGCTTCTGGAACAAAAGGCCGAAAGAGGAGCTTCTCTCCTTTGGCCTTCACACCTCCGATGCTGACCTCGGCCTCTTCATCGCCGCCTCCTCTTCACCTCTCCTCCCTCATCCGTCTCTGGCCAGTCGCTTTAAACTCCGTGACCTCGGCCCGCTCACCTATTACCTCGGCCTCCACCTAGACCGCGACCGCTCTTCCCGCACTCTCCACGCCCACCAGTCCAAATTTATTGCTGCGCTCTTCGCTCTCCCATTCCAACCCCAGCCATACCCCCATGGACTCTAAGCTCCTCCTCCCTTCCCACCCCTCTTCACCGCCATCTCAAACCTTCCCATATCCCTCCTTGGTTGGCTCTCTCATGTACGCCATGGTCGCTACTCGTCCTGACATAGCCCACTCCACTGGCCTTCTCTCCCGTCACCTCCACTCATGGTCCGACCCTCATTGGCTGGCTGCCAAACGTGTTCTACGCTACCTCAAGGGAACATCTTCCCATGGCTTACTGCTCGGCGGCTATCCTTCCTCCCTCCACCTCAATGGCTACTGTGATGCCTCATGGGCCCCCGAAAGTGAGGATCGTTGTTCCCTCACTGCATATCTTTTTTTCTTTGGTCCATCCCTCATTTCCTGGCAATTCAAGCGGCAATGTGTGGTGGCCAGGTCCTCCTGTGAGGCTGAATACTATGCGCTTGGTGCGGCAACCCATGAAGCTCTTTGGCTTCGCACTCTCCTCACCTCACTTGGACTTCCCTCCACTGGTCCCACCCCTTTGATCTGTGACAACACGAGCGCCATTGTCTTGGCCGATGACGCTGGTGTCTTCCATGTCCGTGCCAAGCACATTGATATCCGTCATCATTTCCTCCGTGATCATGTTGTCAAGGGCCACATCTCACTGCACTATTTCCCTACTCATGACAACCTTGCTGATCTCGGTACCAAGCCTCTTTCCCGTGACACTTTTCAGCGTCTCCGGTCTTGCATTGGCCTGTGCCCTGCCTCTTCTTCCCCAGACTCTCCCTTGGTGTCACCCTAAGGGGGGGTGTTGTTGAGTATCTCTTTGGGCCTTTATCTGGGATGTATTTAACTTAGTACATTTCTCTGTTATGTGTAATGTTTTATATTATATTAGGTGTAGACATTAGGGTTTGGGTTATATTAGGAATAGGGTGCCCCCAAGTGATTTTATCAAGGGCTAGGCAACCCCAAAATCCGAAGTGGGGTACCTCACCACGCATCCCAACATTTGGGACGCGGCTCCAACCTGGACCCACGTTTCCCAACCATGAAAACGCGGCTCCAGCTTGTGGAACCACGAATCCAATTTGTGGAATCGCGGTTCCACTAGTGGGGGCGCTTCCAGACCCACTTTGAGGGTTCCTCACGTCCCCACCTTGACTGTGGGCGACTTGAGCACCCATTTGGGCACCCCAAGTCTCTTAGGTGCCATTCTCCTCACCTGGACCAGCCCAAGTCGCCCAGTGCGTCTCCATCTCTCTCTTCTTCACCATTTAGGCCTACTTAGCCCAATGTCTTTGTCAGCTTTATTCACTTTTTTGTCTTACACTTTCTAGGGCTCCCCTTGGAACCTATCTTTACCATCTTCAACTTGTGCGTCTTACAGCTATGCACATTGAGTCTACTTTTCTACACTTGGCCCTCGCATTGTACCCATCTCACGCGCCTCCTCTCTCTCAACCCCCTCCTGTCAATGTCTCTCTTCTCTCGCTAGAAGTTCCCCCATGATTTGGCCCAAGCAGCAGAGCCAAATTTTCAGGCGCCTCAGAAATCGCCTCCTCTCTCTCAACCCTCCTCTCCTCAACGTCTCTCCCTCTCACCAGAAGTTTCCTCGTGATTTGGCCCGAGCAGCAGAGCTGGCAATCGCATCCCTACAGGTGAGTGTCTGCTTCTGTCCTGTGAAATTGGCTTCTTGAGACATGTCTGGATGTTCTTTTTAAAATTTCTCAGAAAGCTACTCTTGCTGCAACTGGATGCATGCTGTGTCAACTCAAACTACACATGCTTGCTTCCTTTTTGGAATCCCATAGTTCATACCTGTGCCTCCACAACATTTCTGTTACAGATAGGATGCAATTCGGTTGGCACAACTTTGTGTGTTGGCAATTTGTTGGTTTTAGGAATACGCATATTTGTTAGGTTGGGTGGAGCTATGTTTTCATCCCCAACCTATCCCAACCCAATCCATCTCAAATCGCCACGATTTGGGAGGATTCCCTTGGGATTCCCTCCGATTCTCCCTTATCCCTGCCCATCCTCTCCGATGCTCGGTACTTAAGGATGTATGCTCTTGCTCATTGAATCGATCAAGCTCTCAGTTTCTAACAATTTCTTCCCCTACCTTTGTTCACGAAGGCTGTTCTTGCATCCGCCAAGAGACTGGAAGGGACTGGTGCCAAGCGCCTTGCTCTCAGGCTTGTCTCTCCTCACCTTTCGTACTTCCTATCCCTACTCGCTTCCGTCCTATACTTCCTGTCCCTACTCGCTTCCGTCCTATACTTCCTGTCCCTACTCGCTTCCGTCCTATACTTCCTGTCCCTACTCGCTTCCGTCCCATACTTCCTATCCCTACTCGCTTCCGTCCCATACTTCCTGTCCCTAATTGCTTCTATCTCATACTTCTTATCACTACTCGCTTTCGTCCTATACTTCCTGTCCCTACTCGCTTCTGTCTCATACTTCCTATCCCTACTCACTTCCGTCCCGTACTTCCTATCCCTACTCGCTTCCGTCCCAAACTTCCTGTCCCTACTCGCTTCTGCCTCATACTTCCTATCCCTACTCGCTTCTGTCCCAAACTTCCTATCCCTACTCGCTTCTGTCTCATACTTCCTATCCCTACTCGCTTCTGTCTCATACTTCCTATCCCTACTCGCTTCCGTCCCAAACTTCCTATCCCTACTCGCTTCCCTACTCTCCTCACCTTTCATACTTCCTTCCTCTCCCGTGCTTCCCTCCTCCCGTGCTTCCCTCCTCTCTCGTGCTTCCCTCCTCTCCTGTGCTTCCCTCCTCTCCCGTGCTTCCCTCCCCTCCCGTGCTTCCCTCCCCTCCCGTGCTTCCCTCCCGCAGGCTGTTCTCGCACGCACCCTTCATGACGACTCTCTCTCCCCACTCGAATCCGGTACCACATCAAAGGGCCTTGAGGGCAGCCTCGTTCAAAGCCGTGATGACATCATCAACCTTCATGATTCCACTCCGCCCACACTCCCCTCCCACAGGCTGTTCTTGCACGTACATTGGACGACTACTCACTTTCTCCAATCGAGACCAGTTTTAGCTCAAACTCAATGCGTCTTGAGCTCAAGCTCGTTCAAAGCCGCGATGACATCATCAACCCCCCTGTGGTGCTGCGTGCGCAAGAGATTGCAAGTGGCGCAGACACATTGCCAGATGGTGTGGACACCTTGTTGGGTAGTCGTGTAGATTCATTTGGAAACACAAGCAAGTAGTGTTGTTGATGTGCATTCCACTAGTGTAGATGGCGTCTGCTACTCGACCACGTCCTCCGCCACCTTCGGCCGCCTCCTCCCGTTCCTTTTACCCGACTTGACCTCCTCCACGGTCGCGGATCTCGTCTCACACCTGCGTTCCCTCGAGATCCGCTTCCGTGCGGCCTGCATCGAAGCCCAGCTCGTCCGTCATCCCCCGCCCACCTTCGCCACCCTTTACTTCCTCACCACCCGCCTCCCTGATCGCCTCGCCCCTGCACCTGATGCCCTACCTGCACTACACCCTACTGCCCTCACCATCGACCTCTTCTCCACCTCCCTGACAAAGATAGTAACCCGCCTCCGCACCATCGCCGAGTCCACTGGCACAGTGGCGTCCCCTATCTTTCAAGGTTGCTCTCCGTCCCAGGTCTTAGTCTCTGGTCCCTCTGCCTCTATCGCTGAGATTGATGCGGTGGTCACTGCATCCAGCCGCGCTGCCGGGCGCTCGCAGCGCCCTTGTGGTCCTGGGTTTATCGGCAGCGGTGGGCGGTGGGGCCACTGGTGAGGCTCGGGGCGCTGACGAGGGGGCGGGTATGGAGGTGGAGAGGGAGCAGTAGCAGCCGCAGCAGCCTCAGCGACAGCAGCAGCCTCAGCGGCAGCAACAGTCGCAGTAGTAGCAGCCGCAACAGCAACAGCCGCAGCAGCAGCAGTCGCAGCAGCAAACGCCGCCGCAGTGGGGCCCTGGGAGTTCTAGGCATGGTGCGAGCTCTGGTGGTTGGGCCCTAGGGCAGTCGATGCCCTGGGGTTTGCCTGGTTGCTGCGGGGACCAGGGAGGCGTGGGGCCTAGGGGTCCCGTGCACTGTGTGTACCCGATTCAAACCGGTCAGTGGGTGCACGGGGCATACCGCCGCTCGCTGCTTCCGCTGCCTGGACGATCTGTTCCATTGCCACTTTGGGCCTCTAGCGGCCCCGCCGCAGTAGTGTGTCCTGATCCGCCACGGCGTCCTGGTGTTTGAGATGGAGATGGTGTTAGATTGTCGAGAGAATGGTGGACTAAGGGAAAATGTCAAGGGTTACTAAGGTAGGACTGTACCCTTTAAGAACTGACCTACCGTAACTAAGGCTATAACAAATATAAACTAGCTAGCCCAGATAATTATTTTTGTTGATAGATGGTTCAGGTAGGCTTTGCTATGTACAGTGCTGGAAACAATTGTCATGTTTTGCGCTAAATATGGTTTTCAAGCTTAACATCCGCATCCCAAATTGTTCAAACGCACTGCGTATGAACTATGGGCATGCGGTTCTACGAAACACACGGAAATGTCGCAAGAGTAATTCTGTTAAAAGGAGATCGGGCGCTAGGTAGCCAAGTGAGGGCGAGAGGTTTTTATCATAATGGAAGAATGAATTAGGAGAGAGTACAGGGGCGTATAGGCTAGTGTATTGTACCCTCTAAGGCACAAAACTATATTGTCTATACTAACATACTTAGATATGTTTGACACACCCCCTAGACTATATAGGGGCAGTGCATAACATGAAAACAAGCAGCTCAGGGCGGCACTACTAGACCAGCCTCTGAGACAAGGGGCTAACGACCAGTCAAAGGAGTACAGACACAACAAGAGCAAGACCAGGGCGGCACTACTAGTCCAGCCACTGGGAAGAGGCCACAAGGCCAGTCTCGGTAATATAGATATATAAAGGTCTGTACACAATCAAGGCCCTAGCAGATGAGAGGCTACAGGAACAAGACCGACCTCTACACAGTGCCGCTGATGATCTTTAGGCGCAAGTGCCTTTGTAAAGATATCAACTGTGTTGGCATCAGAGGCCAAGTGTACTATGCGGGCCTGGCGACGCTGCTGCAGCTCGCGCATGAGGAAGTACCACAGCTGAATAAGCTTCACTCTGCCATCAATTTGAGGCTCCTGACACAGGAGGATCATGGCCCTGTTGTCAGCGTACAGGACCGGGGCAGAGCTAGGCCGCTCACCTAAGTCAGTGAGCAAGAAGGTCAGCTAGCGGAGCTCCTGTGCCGCCATGGCACCAGCGTAGATCTCGGCCTCACAGCTGGACCGGGCGACAGACGAGGAGCGAGTAGCTCTCTACGAAACAGCACCCATACCAAGGCTAAAGCAGTAGCCCTGCGAGGACCTGAGGGTCTCTGCGTCGTCTGCCCAACAAGCGTCTGTGTGCCCGGTAAGGACCACAGGCTTGCGTCCTCCCAGCACTAACCCCATGCCTGATGCACTTGCAAGATAACGCAAAACCCTCTTAGCGGCAGACCAGTGCTGAGGTCGGTGTCTGCCTGTGGCCACAAAGCGAGCCTAGATGCTGAGAGGGTATGCGAGATCTGGACGAGTGCAAGTCATCAGGTACATGAGGCAACCCACCAGCTCTGCGTAAGGACCACTAGGCTCTGCTGGCTCCTCAGGAACTGGAGCAGAGAGCCTGTGGTCTACTGGAAGAGGTGTGGGCTGTGCGGAGGAGAAGTAAAGACCGAACCTCTGAAGGACCTGGCGCACCAAGTGTGACTGGGTGAGGGTGATGGTGTGCGCTGCTCTATCTCTGGAGACCTGCAAGCCAAGGTAGTGGCGCAATTCTCCTAGGTCAGTGCAGGTGTGTCTCTTCAGCAGCTCCGTCTTCACGAAGGCCAGTGTGTCAGTGTCTGCAGTGGCAAAGACCAGATCGTCTACGTAAACGAGGATGTAGAACGGGGTTCTGGCCAGCACGAACGAAGAGCGAGGGGTCTGCAGAGGACAGAAAGAACTGCAGGTATGCAAGGGTAGCACGCAGCGTGTCGTGCCACTTACGGGGCGCCTGCCGCAAGCCGTAGACTGGGCACCGCAGGAGCCACTGGGTCCCAAGAGGGAAGGTACCAGTGAAGCCCTGAGGGCGGCGCAGCTAGACCTGCTCGTGTAGGCTTCCCTGAAGAAACGCTGTCGAGAAGTCGAGGGAGTGTAACTCGTAGTCCCGCTGTGCTGCTACGTGTAGCAGCGCCCGAAGAGTAGTCATCTTCGGGGTCGGGGCGAAGGTCTGAAAGTAGTCCAGCCCTCAAGCTGACTGAAGCTTCTAGCCACGTAGCATGCCTTGAACACAGGCGGCTCTCCAGGAGGGCGCTTCACCTTGAAGAGCCAGCGGCCATCGACTACGTTCACCCCAGGTGGGGGAACTGCGTCGACGTAGGTGCCGGTGGATCTCCAAGATGCCATCTCCTGCTCCATGGCAGCTATCCACTGGGAGGCCCAAGATCCTGAGGTTGCCTCAGCGTAAGTGCGAGGGGTCGGGATGTCGAAAGCGTCTGGGTCACCCTCAGGGACTAGTAGCATGGAACAGAGATGGGGAGCAGCCTCCGACAGGAAAGCAAGCTCGTACTGATGGTCCTCCAGAACGTCACTGCCGAGGGCAAGAGCAACCCCGACGGACGGAGGACGGGCAGGGTTAGAGACCAGAGCAGTGGTGTATTCAAGGCGGCGGGTAGAGGCGAAGTCAGCGACCGCAGCGACAAGAGCTTTAAGACGCGAGACCGGAACAAACGGGTCGGTAACGAGAGAGGCAAGGACCCGATGAACAAGAGGACGAGCGGCACGAATGTAGTAAGACAGAGGGGGAGGCGCAACAACAAGGGGGGACGGAGGAGGCGACGGTAGGAGGGGAGGACGAGACGCGTGGGAACGAAGCAACATAGGGTGAGAGCGCGGGAGAGGGGAGATAAGGCGAGCACGGGAGGGACGGCGAGACCAGGCGTGAGACGGAGGCGTCGGGTCAGGGGACAGAGGAGGGGACACAAGAGGGGAGCGAGGGGGAAGACGAGCTGGAGTCGAGACCAGGGGAGGGAATACAGGGTCGTGGACACGAAGAGGGGGAGACGGCAGGAGAGGCACAGACGCAGGGTAAGGGGACGGAAGCCCGAGCAGACGAGGGCTGACACCGGCGGTGACCGCTGCTGCGGCGGCACGACACCGACACCGGGACCGCAAGCTGCTCCACGACTACCTCCGGAACACTCCACTCCAGCACCCCCAGAAGGAACACCCCCAGAGCCCGAAACCCCTCCAGCACCGGTACCACCCCCTGGCCCACCGGGACAAGCAACGACAGGAACCCCGAGACTAGTACCCACACCAAAGCCATCACCCCCAGAGTCAACGAACTGCTGTGGCAACGACTGCGGCGGCTGCGGCGGCGGCGACGGCGGCGGCGACGGCGGCAGCGACGGCGGCTGCGGAGGCGGCGGAGGAGGAGACACTGGGGGAGGGGCAGGCGGCAAGGACTACGCCGCAGGGCCACCGGAGTCAGCAGACTCCTCGACCGGGACAACCGAAGGGAGGGGGGTGACGTGAGACACACCAGACAGGGCAGGATGGGGAGGGGGAGGGGGAGGGATAGGAGCAACTGGGGAAGGGAGAAACAGGAACATGGGGGGGGTAACTGGGGGACCACGGTGAGGGAAGCGGTGGTAGAAGGAGAGTGAAAGAAACGGTGAGACGGCAGGTGGTAGAAGTGCCAGTCAAACGAGTCAAGGGGGAAACCAAGGAAGACACAGGGGACGATGCGGGCAGTGAGCTTGTCCGTGCCAGAGGCACGAACGTGAGCAAGGTAGCCCCAGACGTGGAGTGCAGACGCGTCACCAGGAGACCCGGACCAAAGAAGGGTCGGCGAAACCCGCGGCTGCTGGGGGTGCGGCCACAGGTTAAGCTGGTGAGTGGCGTAGAGAACGGCCACAGAAAATGGGGTGCACTGGCATGGATCATGGAGGTACGAGCTACCTCCATGACCAAACCGATGCGGCGCTCAGCAACCCCATTCTGCTACGGGGAGTCCAACAAGGTGAATGTCTGGGTGATGCCCTCCGTAGGACAGAAACGACCAAGGACGCCGGAGGCAAACTCGCCACCACGGTCAGAGTGGAGACGCAAGACAGGGAGACCGCGGTGGACACGCGCAGAGACAAGCCACAAGATAAGAACGTCATGCACGTCAGCCTTCCACTCCAAGGGAAACACCGTGGTGTAGCGCGTGTAGTCGTCGACAAGCACAAGGAAGTAGCGCTCTCAACGCGGCCCATGGACAGGGGCGGGGCCCCAGACGTCCATGTGCAGGGTCTGTAGCGGTGCAGCGGTGGGGGGGAACGAGGAGGAGTGAGGGGCACGGCGGAGCCGGCCCTCGATGCAGGGCGTGCACGGTGGCGCCGGGGAGGAGGGCAACTCGGGGAACAACCCTGAGAGACTTAGGACAAGACCGTGCTGAGACATGTGACGCAGACGCGGGAGTGCAGGGTGACGTAGATGGTGGTGCCACAGGAGTGTCGGGTGAGTAAGCGACCGGCACGAGCAGGCCGCAGCAACCTGAGTAGACGCAGCCACCTAAGGAGACGTCCCAAGGGGGGGGGGGGGACGGTGTCCAGTGTGAACAGGCCGGACACCGGGTCCCGGGGGAACGTGGTGAGGGGAGCACCAGTGGCGGTCTCGGTACAGACAGCGTACCGCTCGTGACCAGGGAACGTAGTGGTGACGCCAAGGTCCTGGAGGCAGCCGAAGCCAACTAGGTTCCTGGTGAACGAGGGGATGTGCAGGCCTGTAAGAGAGCCCAAAGGAGCTGCCGGACAGGGAAGGGTGGTGGAACTACGGGCGACTACCGGACCGGAGGAGGGGTCGGCAAGGGAAACTGCGGCAGGAGCAGCAAGTGGTGTCAGCGTAGTGGAGTCGCGGAAGAAACACCGGGAAGCGCCAGAGTCCAGGGTGAAGGAGAGCGCAGCAGTGGCGGCCGGAGTCGGAGCAGTGAGGGAAGAACCAAGGCTAAACAAGGCAGGGGTTCCTACGCCTGAGGCAGCAGGGGAGGCAAGACTAGACACACCTACACTAGACAACAAGGGGTAGTAAGAAACAGTCACACTAGAGTCATCAACGTACAGCAAAAATATACAGGGCAGAGCTAATCTCATCCATGTCCATATAAAAAATTGGAACACTACGGCGAAGCAAGCTGTGCCAATTGGGGAGGTCGGGCGGTGGGCCGAAGCGAAGACAAAACAGGTTGTCTAGGCGACGAAAACAGCGGACGGGGGTGTGACCGATCTTACAGTAAACGGAGCCGCGGCAAGGACCGGTTTGGAGCTGGTACTGACAGCGCCCTTCACCCGAACTGCCACACGGAGGCACACCACGCGCACGACCATCACGTCCACTGCCACCACCAGCGCCTGGCCACCCGGGTGGGAGACCA